GTGTGTGTGTGTGTGAAATTTAATATATTGAGCCATCTTATCTGAATAAAAAAACAGCTGTTTTAATTAAAAAAAAACTTTGACAACAAAGATGAATGTGTTCTGAAAAGAAATATATTCCAAAAGTGTAACGATGAACACCATTTAAAACCATCAAACTAACTGTTGACGTGATGAATGGATATTAGATGGTGCTGTAATAATTTAGCCGTGCCTCTTCCTCTGTGTTTGCCTCCTCAGTCCGAGAGAAAGCAGCTCTGAAAGCCATGGCGTACGCTGGCATCAACACCGACTGCTGCAGCAAGCTGAAGGAGGCGGGCAGCAGCTTGCAGGGAGACTCCATCGCCGACTCCATAGACCTATCAGGGAAGAACAAGAAGCGGCGCAACCGCACCACCTTCAGCACGTTTCAGCTGGAGGAGCTGGAGAAAGTTTTTCAGAAGACACATTATCCTGACGTGTACGCCCGAGAGCAGCTGGCTCTGAGGACGGAGCTCACTGAGGCTCGGGTTCAGGTGCGTTTCAGCAAATTTACATTACAATCTACACCTTTTTGAAACTTCTTTTTTTGTAAAAATAATTTCAGAAAAAAGGAGTTCATGATTTACTTTGAAACTTGTTTTCTTTAATTTTCTTAGAGCCCCATTTTCCACAAAGTTATGACGTTGTGTGAAATGGAAATAAGGCTAGAACAATTTGCAAGTTTCATAAACACAAAGTTTATTTCACAATGGATGTAAACATATTGAATGTATAATGTATTCTGGGGAAAAGACAGTGCATAGTTGCATCCACAAATGTTGGTTAAAGCTCTATCGTGCAAAGATATGTGAAATCCACCCTGAAACATCGCTGTCTTCTCTGGAGCACCGCTCAAAGGAAATGGACTGAATCCAAGAGAAAAACTGCTCTGTGGTGTGATAAATTAAAATATGAACTTCTTTTTCAAAACCATGGACGCCATGGAGGGGTTACCATCCAGCCTGTTATCAGGCCTGCCTCTCTGATGGTATAGAGCAGTTAAATTGATCAGGGGCCACAGTTACTGAAAGCCAAGAGCTCAGGGGCTAGACATCCAGCAGTTATTCATTAATTAAGCTTGTTTTATGGTTTAAAATCTAGTGTTTTTTTTAAAGGAACCCACTGGTGGGCCGAACTGAGCTCACCTGTAGGCCTGACTTGGCCCCTGAGCCACCAGTTGAATATCCCTGGTGTAGATGTGCATTAGTACCCTACATGAACAGCTTACACAGCTGTAAAGACTCCGTTGATGCAGAAAAGATTTTAAAACATATGAGCCCACCTGACAAAAATAAATAAATAAATAAAATAAAATCCAGAAAAGGTCCGGCACTGTTGAATTGCTAAAATGCTACTGCAGACAAGAATGGGACAGTTTCCTCTGACTCCCCCAGAAACTGGTCTCGTCAGTTCCCAGATGTTTACAGGCTGTTAGTAAAAGAAGAGGTGATGTTTGACAGTAACGAGGTTCTGAGATGTGTTGCTGCCATCAAACACCCTCCACCCAAAAACAAGCCATTTATCAGCTACACTGTGCACAAAATATGAGTTTAAGAGATTTGGAAATGATGGCATTCTGTTTTAATTTATGTTTTTCACAATGTCCAAACTTTTTTTGGAATCGAGTTTGTAATTAAATGTTTTTTTTGTTGTTGTTGTTGTTGTTAAAGGTTTGGTTCCAGAACCGCAGGGCCAAGTGGAGGAAACAGGAGCGCTACGGGAAGATCCAGGAGGTCCGCAACCACTTTGCTGCTTCTTATGATATTTCTCTTCTCCCTCGACACGATGCGTATCAGGTACCGCAGATTCACATTGAAACGCAGCTTTGATAGTGATGCTCCTGAACGTCCAGGGCACTTCACCCACACAAAACTGAAACAATCAGACTTTTGTTGAGCTGCATTTCCATGTCTGTTCCCTTAATTTCCCAATCTGTCCCCATCCAGATCCAGGGCAACCTGTGGCCCGGTGCAGCTTCAGGGGGAGGGAGCGGTTCGGGTGCTGCCTGCGTCCTAGGAGCTGACTCCATTCCCTCATCCTGCATGAGTCCGTATTCTCACCCCCACAGCAACCTGCAGAGCTTCATGGGCATGTCCACCTCCCCCAGCCACCCACACCACCACCACCCGCCTCACCACCCCGGTATTAACGGTCTCTATTCGCTCCATGGCTTTCCAGGAGGTCTCGGGCCCCCTTCTATGGAAGGGCCGGAGGCTGACTACAAACCGACGAGCTTGGTGGCGCTGAGGATGAAAGCCAAAGAGCCGGGCAGCATTATCTCCTGGCCCACATGACCTCCATCATAACAGCTCCTCTTTAATGCACCGACTGAGCCAAAGCATTACTTTCTGGAGCCAGAAACAGACTCCGATGTACGAAACCCACGTCAGCGTTCGACCCACATATTTCCTCTTTACATTTATGCAAACCAACATGGAGGCTTTTTACAGAATATTTTGGATTATTAAAGGATTGTGGGCAACTTTCTCAAAAGTGACCATATTATTAACGTTCTTGTATGTTCATACAGCAACACCGAAAAGGGAAGTTATTTAAAAAAAATGTAATTATCATATTACTCCTTGTTTCATGTTTGTTGTGATTTACAGTGAGACCAGTAATAAAGGCTTTCATCTTTGTCAGCAGCTGTCTAACTAATTTTGCGAAAGGACATTTTAAGAGAGATGAGAAACAACATCAGCTGGAATTATTTTGGCCTTGACATGACTCTTTCGTGAAAAAAAAAAAAAATCTGTGTTTTTCATTTTGATAGTGGGAATGTGGTTGTGAAGCAGAAATTTCTTGCAGGCTGTGGTTGTCATAAACACAAAGATGTCTGCTGTGCAGGAAGTAAACAAAAAGCCTGGACATGTGCACTCGGCTCAGTTTCGCTCCGGGTGGCATGTTGTGTATGGGTTCGTTAAAGGATAAAATAAAGCAACCATAATATTAGAGAATACACTAACCTGACAATGTTTGATTTGGTGCAGAGTGTAATGTTGCATTTGCTTCCTGTTTTTATAAATGCTAAACTTTTTTAAGCATTAAAGGTGAGTATGAAATATGTGCATGTTATATTTAGCCGTACGGAATCTGCTTGTTGTGTTTCAATCCCAAACAAGTTACTTTTTTAAACGAAAACAACACCGAATTACACATTTCCATCTCGTCTGGCATAAATTACTGAATACCAGCGTATTTGTGTGAAAAAGAAAGAACAATTTCGACCAATTTAAAAAGTAGGTTACTGGTCAAAAACATCATAATTTCTACGTCTTTAAGAGAAACACTTTCTTTTTTTTTTTTTGCTAGCTGCACTTCATGACAGCAACGCTCAGAGCGGTCCTGGGTTCTGTAGAGCCATGAACATGTGGTTCCAATAGAAGTACGCAAAAACCCCATCAGAAACACTTTCCACACCCACAGCTTCAAATTCCAGCCAGGCCCTGGGAGACGACAGCACACTGCAGCTACAGTCCTCTCTGATTAAATCCCAGATTAAGTGGAAGAGATAAGAAGACCTGTCAGGAGGGATGAGGGACGGAGGAGATGGCCATCTTTATGGAAGCTATAGAAATGGCAGCTGCTGGATTAAGAATTTAGCATTTTTGATTTATATTAAATCTTAAACACGGTGATGAAAACTGGATAAATCACAGTAGCATAATTGGTTCAGGATAAACGTAATGAAGACATTTTAAGGAGCTATAAATGTTCACCAGGTTCCTTTTTTAAAAAAGACTTTCAGCTGCAGCGCAGACTTTGATACCGTCCCTCAGTATAACAGCCACAGCTATGGTATTTGTCAAGGAAAGGTTAGGAGAACACAATGCTGGAGGCAGTTATTTCCAAAGCATCACCTTTTATGTCAGGATCATTATATGAGGACTGTCATGAGCCTGTAGAAGATACTAAATCATTTAGCCCAATTATTGGACTGAGCGTATGATTTAATGCTCATTACAGTTTGTAAAGTTGCCTGCAGACCTCTGCTCTTGGCTTTGATCTCACCAGGATTTATCCCCGACTCAATGTGCAGCTTTGCAACCCAGCGGATACTTGTATCCATCATCTCCCATAAAGCTAATTAATTTGCTACAGCAGAGTGGGTCCAGCTCCCAAACAGGAGCAAACAGTAAAATCACGTTAGAGAAGTCTGGCCCGAAAGTTTGAGCAGTTCAATGAGGTGACTATAACACACAGCAGGCAAAAACTGTTAATAGTGGCTAAAAGAAATGCTGCATCAAGCAGGAGTTACTGAAGACAAAGTTCAAATGAGAATGAAAATACAGCAATAAAATCTGTTTGTCTGCTCATTCATGGGACAAAAAATAAAATTAGTCTAAAAATGTAACACACATTAAAATACAAGAGCTTTATTTTAGTGGCCAGTATCTGGTGTAAATTTGACCTGTAAGTTTTAAAGAATCACAGTTATTGAATCACACTTATTGAAGTAGCCGTACATTTTCAACTGATATATTTAGATAAAACGTATACACCAAAACATGTCACCAATAATGACCCAAAATTAGTTCTGAATCCAGTTAAACTTAAGAGCCTTGTCCATTTAACACAGAGGTCTCCGTGGACTCTAATGTCTAGTTAAAAGAAAATATTTTCTGCTCAAATGCTGCCACCTTGTGGTCAAATTGAAAACGGGGCGTTATTGTTCCAGTTTATGAAACAGCCTATTGTTTAAATTGACAAGTGTCCATTACTGACAAATTGTAGTTTTATGTTAACAAAACATAGACCATTCAGAGCAGCATCATATTGTTGTTGTTGTTGAAAAAAAAAATCACACATTCATACAAAGAACCCTATAAAATTCCGTGCTATAATTAAAAATATTGTTTCAGCCAACAAGTGCGTTAAGGACAGCAGAGTTTTAAATCTGCCTCGTTTACATTGTCTGAATTCTCAAACGCAGACAGGCCTGTTTGACTTTAACAGCTTCAGTGAGTGATTTTTTTAACGTAGTTTTTATTTATTTAACAATATAAAAAACATACAAAAATGGCAATGACACATTTAACAAATCTATTTCAGCTAACATATTATAACTAAACCATCCTATAAATAACACATTTTTTTCCAAGAATATAACATATTAGTATAACTTCGGAATTAACAACATCAAAACATATGGACAGCTTCAGTGAGTGATTGACAAGCGCTGCAAACGCTTCCGCCCACTTTCCAGCCAATCAGAACCAAGGGGCGGGACTTCACGCTAATCTTAACAAAATGGCGACTGTTGTTGTTGCAGCGCAGCGTCAGTGAATAAATCCGTTAATCATTTCGGTACATTTCTGTACTCACTGGAAAAGAACAAAACCAAAACGAACTAAAAAAAAAAAGCCCAAGCACCACAGGGTTCGTCTCCGCCCGGGCTGAAATGAAAGGTAAAGAGCGGTCGCCGATTAAAAAACGTTCCCGGGCCTTGGACGATATTCGAGACAGGGGAGGATGCCACCCGACCAGTAAGAAAATGGGGGCTCTGTCGGTTTCCAGTGGGAGTAATAACGGGAACAGTTCGACCAAAAGCGACGGGGGCTCGACGAGACGGAGTCTGCTCGGTGACAAAAGAGACAGAGACTTTGACGGTCACAGTCGGACTGGAAACAACCACAGCTGCCTGCCCGCTGCCGTGAGTAAAAACCACAGCCTGAGTCTGGAGTCGTCGTCACCCAGGTCCGCTTCACGGGTGGAGCAGCGGATTCAGCCTCCCAGCGCCGAGAGTGAGTACAAAACGCTCAAAATCAGCGACCTCGGCACTCAGCTGAGCGACGAGGACGTAGAGGACGGACTCTTCCACGAGTTTAAAAAATTCGGCGACGTCAGCGTCAAAATCAGCCGCAGCAACGACGAGCGAGTAGCGTTTGTGAACTTCAGAAAGCCGGAGGACGCCAGGGCGGCCAAGCACGCCCGAGGCCGGCTGGTGCTGTACGACCGGCCGCTGAAGATCGAGGCGGTCTACATGACCCGGAGAAGGAGCCGCTCGCCCGTGGAGAGGGACGTGTTCGGGGCCGCTCAGAGCCACAGACACTTGCAGAGGCCCCTCTCTCCCACCGGACTCGGGTACAGAGACTACCGGCTGCAGCAGCTGGCTCTGGGTCGGCTCCCCCCACCCCCGCCACCCCCCCTGGCCCGAGAGTTGGAGCGGGACAGGGAGTTCGCCCTGTTCGAGGCCAGGGCTCGTCCTGCTTTCATCGCGGAGCGTGCTCCCTTTCGTGAAGAGGACTTCATATCTCCAGAAGATGACCAAAGAGCTAACAGGACGCTGTTTTTAGGCAACCTGGACATAAACGTTACAGAAGCAGACCTGAGGAGGGCCTTTGACAGGTTTGGGGTCATCACAGAAGTGGACATTAAGAGACCCACCCGAGGACAAACCAACACATATGGGTTTCTGAAATTTGAGAACCTCGACATGGCTCATCGTGCCAAACTGAGCATGTCTGGCAAAATAGTGGGCCACAACCCCATAAAGATAGGTTATGGAAAACCTATGCCTACTACACGTCTATGGGTGGGTGGTCTGGGACCCTGGGTTCCTTTAGCTGCATTGGCCAGAGAGTTTGACCGCTTTGGCACCATCAGGACCATAGACTACAGAAAAGGGGACACCTGGGCTTATATTCAGTATGAAAGTTTAGATGCTGCACAAGCAGCCTGGACACACATGAGGGGCTTCCCACTAGGTGGACCAGAGAGACGACTCAGGGTGGACTTTGCAGATACTGAGCATCATTACCCGCAGCAGTTCCTGCAGCCTCTCCCCATACCTCCGTTTGACATGGTGGCTGAAACTTTTGTCCACCGTGCAACACCTGAAGCTCTCCGTGTCAGAGATCGGACTCCACCCCCACTTCACTTTAGAGACAGAGAACTCTTTCCTGGAGCCGAGTGGTCTAACCCAGCTATACGTGAACGGGTTCGAGCTTCTCTCTTTGAGCCTTTGGAACATTTGGACCGGGAGAGGCGACCTCGGGAGCCCTGGTCTTTGGAGCGAGAGCTTCAGGGACGAGAACCTGCACGAAAACGGCGCTTAATGGAGGATGGACGTCATCTAGACCTTTCTCCTGACAGCACTGAAAGGACAGTAAGACGGAGACGTGCTTCTCCGGATGGCAGTCCTGGAGACGGCAGTAGAGACGGTGGGCGCTTCAGTGATACAGAGCGCCCAGTGAGGGGTGAGAAAGCCTCACCCGCGAGAGAACGCCACAGCAGCTTGGAAAAAGCGGTGGCTGAGCGGAGGCCTAAAACCCAGGGTCTCTCAGACAAAGGAGCTTCAAGCAGCACAGTTGCATCAGGCGGAGAACGCAAACGTAAAGCAGGTGATGGCAAAGGACCCACTAAGAGAGAACGTTCTGAAAACAGCTCCAAGGGCGGTCAGCCATCCAAGTCTGATGGAACCAGACTCGGTTTAGCTTGGCATGGCATGCTGCTTCTGAAGAACAGCAACTTCCCAGCTAACATGCACCTGCTACAGGGCGACCACAACGTAGCCAACGACCTGCTCATCGACAGCACCACAGGACGGCAGGTGAGCGAGCTGAAGATCACACAGCGACTCCGTCTGGACCAGCCCAAGCTCGACGAAGTCTCTCGGCGTATCAAAGTAGCGGGTTCCAGCGGCTACGCCGTCCTGCTGGCAGTTCCTGGAAATACAGAGGAGACGTCCTCCGACTCTGCAGCCTCAACCCAACGGCCACTTCGTAACCTGGTGTCCTACCTCAATCAGAAACAAGCAGCTGGAGTCATCGGCCTGCCTGTGGGAGGTAGCAGAGATAAAGACAACTCGGGGGTTCTTCATGCTTTCCCCCCTTGTGATTTCTCCCAGCAGTTTTTGGATTCCTCTGCTAAAGCTTTGGCAAAAAGCAAAGATGACTATCTGGTCATGATTGTGGTTCGTGGTGCACCATAGAAAAGAAACGACCATACACTAAGATCAAGTGGAATTAAAAAAAAAAAAAAATCTGCTCTATGTCAGTAAAACTTGCATGCTGTGTGTTCTGCATCTTGGGGTACAGTAGTATGGTTTTTGATTGTATGTTGCCACCTCATCCACTAAAAGGACTCTCAAACTGAAAAGGTTGAGTTATTTATTTTTTTTAACAATACTTTTTAGTAGGTGAATGAGTTTAATAACCATTGCAAACCTTCTGTAAGTCAAGCTTCTGTAAAAAAAAAAAAAAAAAGTTATATTTTTTGGAGTTTGGATTCAGTTAAATGCTGTAGCCTATTTAACTGCATTTACAACAAAATGTTACCTTTCCCAGTTGTAAGGGAGGTCAAAGGTAGCCCTTCAACACTTGCTGACATTAACATGTCCACTACAATGAAACCGCCTATTATGAGTGTCGAAGCCACATTCCTTTCACAATGTTAAGCATCTAGTTCAGACTTTTAGAAGTGGGGTTCTGTGGATAAGTTGTTAACACTAATGTCTCACCTGTTGGTAACTGCTTTTGAACAGCCTCGATTTGGACAAAGATGGTTTAATGTTGACCAGATCAATAAGCTAACAGCTAATCCAAGCAGGGCTAAGTGCTTTGCTGTTTTTTTAAACAACTCCAGTCTCATGTTTTTCTTAACGGTTCATGCAAACACTGTTCTAAATGGTTCTGTTGCTGTCAGCTCTGCATTACGTGGCAGAAATATTATTGATGTAACTTTCCCGTAAAGCTTCTGCCACTAGTTGTGGCACTTGCAAATAACTAATATTACATAAGTACATATGTATGTAAAAAAAAAAAAAAAAGTTGCATTTGCAGGAATTGCTATGAAATATGGATAAAGTTATTTTTATGGCGGCAGCAACTCTTTCGTCGTGGCCTCTCAGACTTGTTGGCTCATTGGTCTCGTCAAAATCAACCTCTATTTCTCCAAACTGTGATTGTTCAAAAATCTAACGCAGCAGGTCTTTGATTGTCCAGAACCTTTTCACAGAACCTGTAAAAAAAAAAAAAAAAACCTGAACTATCCCTTTAACCAAAAAAAAAACCCATCTGAATAAGTCATTGTTTTGTTGGTTCTGGTGTTAACTTCCCTTACACGTTTCATCCACATCAATTTTTTTTTCTATTTAAAATCCTCTGTTACCATAGCAACAATGTTGAGCACGATTCTTATTTTGAATCTGAAGGCGTTTTAGTCGACGTCTAGATAATGATCTCATTGGTGTGGGGTAAAAAGTGACACTTTTGAACTTTTCAACTCGTCACAACTCTTTCAGTGGACCACACTCCTGTTACTTTAACCACCTGACTTATTTCTTTGCTTTTGGTTTCTCAACAATTTTGAAACGAGTGTGATTTACTGAAAAGATCGTTTGAATTTTCATGGATCTCGTGTGTGTTCTGCTTGTGTCAAAATTGAAAAATATAAATATTATTTGATTATTTTTTTCTTTTTAGAAACAGGTCCTTCATTTCAGTAACTTGCATTATAAAGTATGTAAGCGACAGATTTATATTCTTTTTACCTGGAGCACATTTCATCATAAATATCAAACTATGTGTGGAATGCTGAGTACTAACAGATGTGGAACTTTATAGCATAGGAAGCAGTCTACCATGATACAGAAAACAGTTGAGCAAATACTAACACTTTTCTCAAAGTAAATTTCGATTATTATTATTATTTTTTTTTGTAAACCTCTTTATCCCTTAGAAATGGTTCTGCATTGTGATTATATAAAAATGAAGCACTAATCTGCAACAAGCTTTAGAGGGTTTTGTGTTTATATTGGAGTCCTTGTTATTTATTTCTTTTAAACTAGCAAGTCTTTTAAACGAACATTTAAAACCAGTGAAAGGACGATCCAAAGTAAGAAACCTGCTGTTAGTACACGTACTAGGTCTGTGCAGTTTTCTGGTTTTAGACGTGTTTTAACCGTTGAGCTCAATTTTAGACGTTTAACTTGGACGGTAATTCACTCATGCCTGCCAACATGGTTGATTTAACTTTTTGTTTAGACATGTTGTTTTTGTCATGCAGTAGTAACTTCAGTACTGACTTTTGATTTCATTTGTAATGAAAACATACGTGCTTGTTGTACATGTGAACATCACACCCGCTGAAACTTTGGACTTCATGGAGACGAGGCGCAGAGCTGCAAGTCTCTGTGGAAAAGGCACCCCTAGTGTTTGTGAGCCCTCACCGAACGAGGCGGCTTTTAAGTTGTGTAGCCCATCTGCGCCTGTGATGACTTCTGTTTTAAGTGGAAAAATTGAGCAGTGTACGCTTTGATGTCATGGGAAAGGAAAATCCGTTGTGCCCATGCGAAGTTGTTCACATAACTACCGAGTGCATTTGGGCACCTAATGTGACCGTTTGTCAATAAATTGTTCATTTGAAGGAAAATGTTTCTTCGGTGGAAATCAATTGAAGAGACGAGCTGCGATGCCATGTTGTGTTTCAAAGGAGTTGTCACTTGAGATTTTGTTTCTGCTCGCAAGAGGGGAGACAATATGCAAGTTGGCTCCGGTGAGGAGAGACCCCCGCGCTTCCTGTGAGGATCACTGTTCGCTTGCAGGCCAGTTTTGAGCTCCTCGCTTCACGGTTCACTTCCTCGACTGCCCCTGCTGGCATGCGAACACCTGATCAGGACCGAGGAGCCTCCGCCTGCTCTTTGCTTGCAGTATAACGGTGACAGATGCGCAGTCGTGCAAGTTGGGAGGAAAAGGGGGCGGAGCTTCGCATGCCTGCGTGCTGTTTTCTTCTGGGGCCATTAAAGGTTTCACATGCATTGATCCAGTTTCTGAATCAGAGGCCAGAGAAGCTCATCGCTGGTTAAACACTCCACCTGGGAGATCGTGGCTGACACAACTCTGAAATTTCTATAGCTCTGCAGTTCTCTGCCTCACTGGAGGCCGGGCTGAAGCACTGATTTGTCTTTATTATCCTTTGCCCAGTTCTAAATTTGACTTGATGTTTGTATCAAGCAAAAGGATTGGCTCAGATCTCAGCTAGGAATATTATCAGCCCCTTGTCTTGGTGCTGTTCTCTGATCGAATCCTCTGAGATGGAGTGAAGCTGTCACCGTCAGGTCTGCTGCAGGATGGAGACGAAGCACCAACAGGTCACTTGTTTGGCCATCACCTGGAAGGGACCATGCAGCGGACACCACTCAAGTCCTCTGTTAGACGTTTAAGGCCTCTTGACACAGTTTTTCTATCCAGCTACCATCAGTTTGAGTAGTTACAGTGTAAAAACATAGTGTTCTGTGTTGAAGAGGACATCTTGAGGAGCACAGAGCAGCAGCTTCTCGTCTCCCACGTTCTGGTAGTTGGTGCCCAGGACAGAGGTGGTGTCCATGTGGGATCATGGTGAGTATGATGAACAAGTGCTGCCTGCCATGTCTGTGTCCGTGGCAGCAGTGGTGAGTATCAAGTGTCAACACATCCACAAAGAAAAGGTGCACTTGTGTATTTATCTTAAAGTCAAAGTAAAGTTTCCTCATTACATTTCATCCAGTGCTGCTTCGATCAGTTACAGAGACGCTCGAACACAATGAAGGATTACAAACAGGATGCTTGAAGTTAATTTGCAGAGAACTCTTATTTACCAAAAATTATAAGCATAAGCTTGGATTAAGTGACTTCTCTATCACCAAATATTGCACATTCAGTTAATTTTGTCACCTCAATGGGGATTTTAGCCTAAAAGATAATTCAGTAGTGAGACATAGTAAAGTGCAGGAGAGGTGAAAACCAACCGATTCAATTTCACAGCATTAGATGATGATGAACGTCTGCACAAGTACTGAATGTTGCTGTATGTTTACTACATTATTGCTCGTTTCCATTACCTTTAATATACTACAATTTAACACGCAGTTCAATAATGCTGGATAAGTTATAGAGCACATATGTCAAATCAAGACCTGAGGGTCAAATGCAGATAGTGTACACATTTGACCCCCAAGATTATGTTTTAAATGGGATATATTGTTATTGACTCATTTTGCTTAAAGAACGATACTTGGACAACATTGAAGTTCCCCAAAATGTGATTTTTTTCAGTAATTTTTGACTTTGGTGTGGAAAGCTCAACAAAGAACATCCGATGAGATTGATTAAACTCTTGTTGAGGAACCTGCAACCAACAAAAGGTGTTGGGTATCTAACTTGACTTAATGGAAATGGAAAGGTGCAAATTGATTGATTTTATTCCAATAAGACATTTTTAGCGCTTAGTTCTGTTCTAGTGCATTTACTGTAACACTATAGTGATATGGTGTGGCTGCCACTAGTTGAAACCTGCGTATGCTCCATTGTCTCTGGTCTTAGACAGCATTATTTACAATGCAATATGCACCTATTAGATTAATGCAACCATCCTTTCAAGGCTCGTCATGGATCGTGTAAGTTCAGCACATATTACTGTAACGTAATCCTGGATGAACTGACACCGAGTCAGCTAATAGGGAGGGAATGGCTACTTGTGTGGAGTTTATTACATCAAGACTTAACACAAACGCATCAGTGAGGGAGAAAAATGACTTCATAAATTGGGGGAAAAGCATATTTATGTTACTAGTTTCTGGTTAGTTTAGAGATTTTTTCCTTTACACAAGCTAAAGCTTCTTTTTAAACCTTAAGACAATCATTTTAGTTATTTAAATGACTCCTTATAGTGAAGCCACAGTATTTAGAACAAAACACTAAATTCAAGATTATTAAGTGTTCAGTGGTGTTAAAGAGGCACAATGATTAAAATATTTTAAACAAAATGTGCGACTTAGTTCGCTGTGGCGACCCCTGATGCAGGGAGCAGCCGAAAGAAGAAAAAAAACAAACAAACGTTAAAAAAAAACAACTCCAAAATGTGTTCAGTTGGTGCAAAGTGACGCACATTGTGGTATTTTTAAAATCAGCTCAGTTCATAACATCCAGTCAAAGCATCACTGTGAAAAGATAATCTGACTTCATGGGATTAGTTATAATAGTTAAACAGTTTTTACGTATTCATGTGGCTGAATGGAATGAAGCCTGTTGTGATTTGATCAAATCTTCTTTTGGCTTTTCACTCTTCAGGGGTCGCCACATCGAGTCATCCTCCTCCACCTCACTCTGTCCTCTGCATCCTCTGTCCTCACTCCAACTACCTCCATGTCCTCTCTAACTGCATCCTGGCAGCTGCATTTCTAACATCCTTCTACCAGTATACCCACTGTCCCTCCTCTGGACATGTCCAAACCATCTCAGTCTGGTCTCTCTAACTTTATCTCCCAGTTGTTCAACCTGTGCTGTACCTCTGATGATCTCATTCCTGATCTTATCCATCCTTGTCACTCTTGAGAACCTCACCACCTTCATTTCTGCCACTTGCAGTTCCTTCTCCTGTCTTTTTGTCCATGTGATTTGATTAAAACTTTTTTTTTTTTTTTGTAAATGAACAGATTTAATGTTTTTATTTTTTATTGTTGCTTTTTTTTCTGCAGAGATCTGCTGGCCCGCTGACTGCTCCGGACCCCTGGCCTCTTTTACTGTAAGTAACCGTTCCATGCAGATTAACGGTGCACCAGCAGGAAGTGACATATACAATGTGGAATGTTTTAAAGTGAATTTATGGGAAATATTGTATCCAGGTCCATTGTGTAACAAAAAAAAATGTACATGATTGTAATGACATAAATGTTCTGTTTATTAAGCTAACTGTAAATAAAGTATATTAATTGGCTGTAAAACTTTGAGTTGTCTTAAATGCACAATAACAAACTGGGCCACATTTTACTGCATGTAATAGTCCTAAGAATACTTGAAACTCCTTTTCTATAATTATTTTTAACAAATCTTGAACCAACCTGTGTTTTCCCCTTCTGATGGTGTTGAAATGAGTTATATAATCAAAAGACACTCTGTTCAAAAGTTCTTTGTCAAAAGTGTCTCGGCTACTAAAAGAACATCCAGATGACTCGGACATATTGCTCACACATAAAGATCCTTCACAGATGCACGTGACTAACGAGTAAAATGATCCATCAAAGGTTTTTTTATTAAAATAAAAAGGGTTATAGTGGAGAAGCTTCAGTGGCTCCAAATCACCAAAGCGTACTTGTAGTGAAAGCAGCTCAGGAGCCAAAAAAGCTTTTGTGCATGACTCTTTAGAGAAACAATACAAAGAGCCTGGCTCTGTATTATGAAAACCAGCTGAGGGGGAATAATTTGCTGCTAATTGAAACTGCATTCTTGGAGAAGGAGCCATCTGTGTCCACAAGAGGGCAGCACAATAAATGACAGTGTGTTTTTCAGCTGACTGCAAATGGGTGGGGGGTCAGTGGGTGAGGCTTCAAGTCATAGGCAGGTTTCTAATGCGATCTTTGGCTGAATTTACAAGAAGGTTAATAAAAGAAATCCCCCCTGTAAGGCAACTATGAAATCAAGGAACATACTAGAAAAAAACTGAAATAAAACATATAAAAAAAAAAAAAAGAACCAACATACTCCCAAACATAAAAACAAACATTTTTAAAGTTTGCACGTCTGTTAGCCGGCTGAAAAGTCTGGGCCCCAGTTTGAAACAGTCCTGCTGACCTTCATGGTCAACGTCGCACACAGTTGGTCGGTTTCTGTTTCACACACAAAAAAAACAATAACACAAAATCACACACAAAGGTAGAGACAACCTGTTCAGTGCAGCCCCATCGCTCTTCTGTCCAAGTGAAGTTTAAATACCGTATGTTTTGGTCTACAAGGCGCACTTAAAATACTTTTATTTTCTCAAAAATCGACAGTGAGCCTCATTAATTCTGGTTGTGCTTATTATTTAATGTGGTACAACTGAACAATGCTGAGCATTATTGTGAATGAGTTGAATAAAGTTTGACTTATCTGTTTCGCTTAATGCACCGTATAATCCGGTGCGCCTTATCGTCTGAAAAACATGGTACTAAGCTGGCCTCTCTGAGGAGCTGCTGTGTTTGCAACATTTAGAATATGTGCACCCCATTTAAAGAAATAAGCTGTCGGTGAGCGTGAGTTGTGCTAGGTGGTACTATTTTCTCATCCACAGGTGTGTCAGGGTTAGTGTGCATTTTCAGTAAGCAACAAAAAAACAGTTTATAGTTGTGCTTTTTAAAACACAACCACTGAGGTTTCCATTTATTCTATTGCTTGTTTTTATGGCGGTCTCCCCCAAATTAAGTATTCTTACTTGTGCGAAGGATTTCAGGCAGAACAAATGCAGAAGCCCCAACTTATTTGGACATTTTTAGGTAGAACTGTGCAGCTTTAAATCAAATTTAAATTTGAGTTTGGCTCATTCTGTCAAGTGTGCGCTGCAAAATAAGTTGAAACCATTAAATCAATTTAGCTTCGTGAGTATTAACTTACAGATGACTTGTAAAAGTTATGGCAGAATAAAAGGTTCAAATTGTTTGCATGATGACACAAATGTGTCTGTTGAACTGTAAACGATAAAAGTGTTTTAAGAGTTTATTTGATGGCATACGAGTTGTGGCAGCTGTGTTTATTGTCAAAGTGGCTCAAATGCTATTTAAGGAGTAAAATTGGTTAAAGTGTCGGTTGCTCCTGCTGACGTCTCCGTGTCAGTTTAAAAATAAGAGCTGAAAAATGTCAGCAGGTGATGTCTGAAGGGCTGAATGTAAACGTGAAGGTCCCGATGCATGCTCAATAATAATTAAGTTTATGATGGTGTCAAAAATGCCCTCATATCTGAGCTGAACTTCATTAGCAAAAAATAAAAATACCAGTTATAACTTCTAAAATTGAAAGAGTATTAAACTTCTAATTTGTTTTAAGAAGCTGAGAAAATGGTACAGAGTAAGAATTGTTTGGTTTAAAAGAATGGAATAATATGTTTTAAGGCAGAAAATAACTCGTATTAATCAGAATAATCAGGAAAAATATATTTAAAAAAAAAATCCAAATTATAAAAAAGTTTTTTCCAAATTTTTGAACTGTTTTGAAAGTTAAGTCTGGATGAAGTTCTGCAGGAGAACTTAAAACAAGAGTATCTAAGAGTTCAGTGTTGGCACATGCTAACAATAATCCAACAAGATGCTATTTCTGTTAAACTGCAGGAGCTACTGGGAGGGTTTTTTTTTGGGGGGGGGGGGGGGGTTAATTTACAAGATGACATATTGTGACATGGGAGCGGGCAACAGTGACATGTTTGCTCAGTAATTTGATTACCTGCCCGTTAAATGTCAGAGGAAATGTCATGCAGCATAATCATAACTTGGCCCAAGTGAATAACGGTGAGTACAGGTTTACACACACAGCTAAAGCCCCCCCCCCCCCCACACACACACACACAGCACTGACTGTTGAAACAGCTGCACAGTCGGTGCAGTTTTGTTGCTGCATTAGGAAGTTTTTCCTTTAATAAATTACCTTTGCAGTTGTCACCTTCAGTTGTGTGTCAATAAGAAAATAAAGAAACAAATGACTTTGCAGAGCAAAATAAATTTGTCTTATTTGAACGATCGGATCATGTTCTTGTGTTACTGTATTGCTTGCTTGCTGAAATACCAGCCAAGGCCCCCCATTTCAGGCTTGAGTCCAGAGTGCAAGGTTTGAGGGCCTGTGATCTTCAGCATGTTGGATCCAGGTCAGCGTATTTAAACCCACTTTTCATTCCTACACAGTGCCGTTCTGTAGGTGGTCAGGGGTGAAGCAGCCGTTGATCTTGCAGCCGCTTTCTGCCTCCTTGTTCTGGCATAGTTTTTTCCTGGCCTTCCAGCGCTGAGCGAGCGGCTCCATGAACAAAGAGAGGGAGGAGAGGAGATAGCAGAGGCCCGCCAGGTAGAAGGAACAGTCATACGTCTGCGTGTAGTCGTACAGGAACCCTGCGGAACAGAAACGTGTTAAACTTGAACAACTGGCACAGTGGTGACATTTTGAAATGGGGTTTGTGAAAAGATTATGAACAATTATTTTACCTGTTGTAGAAGGCACTTTGCGCCACCTAATTTTGAAGAAGAGTGTGAGTCTAATGAAACTAACGAGCTAATGGCTAGTCTGAAGGAGCCAAGACCAAAGCACTGGTGTCACGTTAAAACCATTTAAATCTCCAATGCTTCATGGTGGTTCATGCGGCCACGTTTGAGCTAGTCTTAGCTTGTCAAGAGATCAGTGTTCAATTATTTCTCCAAACTGAGGTCATTAACAGAGCTCCAAACTGTATCTACAACAGGTAAGATAGTATTTGTTCATTACCTTTTCACAGAATCATATAAAATATCTGATCTATTCCTTTAATTATTATGGTGGAACAAACTGATGTAAGAAAAATTATGGTTTAAATTAGATAGCTGGACATGGGCACCAGTGACCCCCGAGACCCAAGAGGAAGCTTTTAAAAGCAGGTAAAATAGATGGATAATGGTTTTAAGCTGCACATACAAGACACGATCAGAACTGGTGATTTAAATTTTAGGGCTCTAGAAGAACACTATATGTGAAAGGATTTCCTGAAGCAATGCTGATCATCCGCTGACCTGTTAGCACTCAGAGTGGTGAACGCCTCAACTACTACTACGTCAAATGATAGCTCGGTATCTGTAAAATTCATTGAGCTGTAATGTTTTTGTGTTTGCTAAGGTCAATTAACTGTGGCAGCCATAATGAATTGGGTTAACTTCAACAGTTAACCAGTTGCAGACGTTCACCCAGTGATTACTTTCTGGGAGTTTTGTTAAAATGTGTTCACTGACACTAAGGTCTCTCTTGTAAATGAGTCCCAGAGGCTCAATGGGACTAACCTGTATAAATAAAGGGTGAATAAAATAAAAAAACACATAGGAGCAGCGGTGTAGTCTACATTTTTGTAGTGAGTATACTGTGCAAAGTACACCGGTTAGTACAATGTAATCATCAATTTATTTTGATTTTTAAGCATATTGAACATTTCCAAATTTCTCTGATGCTTATATTTGAATAAATGAACAACAAACTTTGTGCAACAGTCGACTTTAACATTATAGAATTTATAAAACAGTATCAAAGCAAAGTGCTGCATACTGATAGATTGTTACAGAAGTGTTTAACGCATCATTGACACGTGTCTGATGACAAATCATGTATCATTTGGCACTTTTAAGTTGGCATACTGAAATTTTTAAGCTTTTCTAGTGGGTGTACTCCGTATACCCGAGGATCACGTAGACCACAGCATTGCATGGCCCGCTCGCTGATATTAACAAAGTTCAAGTTTTGTATTTTTTTTCTCATGCAGACATTGATCTAAGAAAGTGAAATTGTCATTAAATATTTCTAATTTTTATTTTGTGCAGCTAACAGATTAAAGACAGACAAAATCCAAACCCTGAAGTGCCAAACACAGAATTAGTTCCCCGGAAACACTTTGGGGAATGTTGAGTAATATTTGGTTGCATCATTTTTGGCACCAATCATAGCATCTAAAAATAGTGTTTGGCCATCAGGAAGTGTTTTCATACGCATTGGATAATGTCTGTTCATTGTCGCGTTGTTTTCCAGAAATATAGGTCAATATAGCCCAGCTTTTCTCATTCAACCCATTTTTGAGCTGTAGGAGGTGTTGGGTCATCAAACCTGCTGACAGGCCCAGACCTTCACCCTGCACGTTATGTTTAGTAGACTTTAATGATCTTCAGAGAATAAATATGAATGAGATCACATCACAATCAGCTGCTGCTGATAAAAAGGCAGCACCCTGTCAACACCCTGCAGCCAAACACAGCTTTTAAATGGACAGAAGGTAAACAGAGCTAAAAGATATTTTCGTATTGCCCTAAAGAGGCGCTTCACCGTGTTTTACGTCCTGTGGTTCAGAAGCGTCTCTGGACACAAAGTCAACATGTTCAAGGCTTCACTCACTTTAGCTTAAGCCAAACGTGACGAATTGGGGTTAAATAGTTACCTTTACGAGGGGCCTGTAACCTGTGGCTCCTTGTAACTTTGAACAAAAGTGGCATGACCCTCAGGAATGTTTATAGCCTATTTAAATTCAAAACAGAAACTAGTACTTCAATGTGCCCATTTGTTGCAAGAAAGAGAAAAAAATTTGCTTAAATAACTTTTTATTTTTTGGCATCAAAATGTAGCATTGTAGAAACAAACAGCTAGATTGTCCTCATAATGTGCAAAATAAAACTCACGGCCATGCACCCAAGTAGTTTAAGTAAATACAAGTTGTGATCTATTTTTAAAAAAAGTAAAAAATTGCAAAAGAAACCAAGAAACTGGCCTCACTTCTTTTTAAAGCGCTGGACTGCAGCTCATTGCTTCTAATGTGACCACTCTTTTTTTTTTTAATATGGCTTAAACTATGTCTTCAAAGTGTAATATTTGTTTGTAGACATATATTGTTTGTTCCTTTTGTCTTAACATTTAAAAATCAATGCAACATAAACTGTTCAGTTTATGTTTAAGGGTCAAGTACATTCCGTGGCTCTTTGCAAACTTTATTTAGTGGGAAAGACGGTAAAAGTGTTGTGTAAAGTTTGCAGACCCCTGACCTAGATAATGAAAAATAAACCGCATGGCTGAGTTTGTGTGGCATCGTAAGGAGATGTGAGAGCTGCACTTAAAGTGTCCCACAGATGAACTATGCTTTCAGCAGATCAGGTGTTATTTTATCTTTTTTTAGTCGACGTGGAGAAGACGTAACCGTTTAGACAGAGACGCTGATCCAAATCAGCAAAACACGTGTAACAAAAAACTGGTCCCAGATTAGAAGCAGCTCTGTAAGACTACAAAAGGCAAGTAGCAATCAGTTAAATAAAGTGCCCCGAGCTCTCCATGAACACACTACTGTTATTCTGAGGCTTTGACCCAGTAACCCCGTGAGCATTCTCCTTAAAGCAAACCATAATTTAAGGTATGCACTTCAGACAAGCACTGACAGTATCCCTCTTTTGCTCTAATGTATGTTTTCAGTTTTCACGCTCACATACTTTAAGGCACTTCTAGGAATTCAGGGCAGGGGTAAAATAAGAGACAGAAGGCCTGTCAACCTGTCAATCCCCTCCCTGATTCCCCATTCCTCCTAGCCACACACACGCACGTGCACAGAGAGCGAGAGAGGGAGAGAGAAACATGCACAAAGTCTGTAACTAAAAGCACCGTCATGGCATTCATCCAACACACATGCAGAACTCATGGAAGCGTTTGTGTACATTTGGGGAAAAACAGGTCAGCACATGCATAACTTTTGGAAGGTTTTCCAAGAAGTCATCCACTCACCTGCCAAAGGAGGCCCTGTTAGGCAACCCAAGCCCACAAAGAACATGGAGAAGCCCATGGAGTTATTGAGTTTCTCCGAGCCGACGAGATCAACCTGCAGGGCAGAAAAGCACAGTCACGTTGGATAGAGCCACGACAAGTTAAAACTGTTACGCACTAATCTGCAATTACTGCACCACACCTTAACGCTCATAATTACACACTGCAAAACAACGTTTGATAAACAGATAATGGCAAGCTGGGGACATGAATCCAGAAAGCAAGTAAAATGCATTGTTTTTTTTGTTTTTTTTTAGATGGGAGAATTGGGTACATGTAGGCTTTTCTCAAACAAACTGCTGGGACATTGTGTAAAATGTACATAAAATCAGAATGATCTGCAAACTTCATAAGCTTGTTCACATCATGAAGGACCCCACTCACCCAGCACACACACTTTTTGCCCCACTCCCCTCAGGAAGGAGGTTAAGGAGCATTAAGAGTAGAACCACTAGACTGAGGAACAGCTTCTACCCTGAGGCTGTTAGACTCATGAATCTCTAACTAGAATAATCACTGTGAAAAACCATATCATGTTGCTGCTGATCTGTTTCATGTTGCTGCTGATCTGTTTCAATGTTGATGTGTTCATGCGTGCACATCTGCTCACAGACTCATGTTCATGTTTGTGCTGATGTTCAATGTTTTATGTTATGAGTGCTTAGTGTATATTTAGTTGATGTTTTTCTTAGTTCATATCTTGGATGTTATTACTGTTTTTCTTATACATTTTATTGTTGGATGTAACTGGGACCTTGTGTACATAATTTCGCTCCACCACATGTACCACATGAGGTGCGAATGACAATAAAGAAACTCTGACTCTGACTCTGACAATAAACACAGTACAAAAGCTCGCCTCTCCAATGGTATGGGGGTGCATTAGTGCCTATGGCATGGGCAGCTCTCTGAAAAGGCACCATCAATGCTTATTTGCATATTTCAGTAAGATGATGCTAAACTGCACACGGCATCCATTACAACCCATGCTTTTGCAGTCCAGTCCCCTCAACTGTGGCTAAGTGGTTAGAGCAGTTGTCCTTTAATGGGAGAGTTGGGGGTTTGATTCCACCAGCAGTCACATGCTGAAGTGTCCCTGGGCAAGACACTGAACCTCTCACTGCCTCCGATGTGTGTCCCATCGGTGTATGAATGTGATCTAAAGCACTGATTCATTTTTGTAAAGATCTAGTAGAGTGCTGTATGAATGTAGTAAATGAGGTACAGACTGTGTTGTAAAGAGCTTTGAGTGTGTTGATAAGATAGAAAGGCGTTATATAAGTACAGTCCATTTACTAAAAACATTTAGTGCCTCATGAAACAAAGCACAACGCTGATATCCCATGTCGTTGAGGGATTTGAACAGTGAATATTTGTAGTTTTCGAGATGAGTGTTTGTCTGCGCTGGAATTGAACAGAGAATGCAAGTAAACCTTGATGTTTTTGAAAGATATTCATGTGTGTAGGAGTTACATTGTGTAGCAGAGAGAGGTTTTTTTTTTTATGTCCAAGGTGGTGCAGTGTGATGGATCCTGGTGAGCGGAGGGAGCAATTTTATCCACCACCAGTTGCAATGGTGGAGCCAGGGGGTGGTCATTGGTGGCCCTGGCCACCATAGATTAATCTTTGGCCAGCCCAATCATTTGAGGAAACATATACCTTTAAGCAATATAAAAATTAGAGAGCATAGTTTCCTCAAATGACAAGGTGGCTGGTTTATATTTATATGTGACGGTAGCCATTCTTGATTTTGATGTGGCGATCCAATTTTCTAAAGGAACCTTTCTTACACCTAGATGCAGCCACATTCAAAAATAGAAGTTAGTGCCTCATTTGTTGTTATCACACAAACAACATTCATGGACAGACCGATGAATGGAGGGTATTTACAATTCCCCTCTTTGCTCAGTGACAGGGGACCCAGGACTGTTTAACAGCTAGAATCCTACATCAGAGAAGAATGGGACAACAGTTCCTCCACAACCTCCAGTAGCTGGTGGTCTCGGTTCTTAGGTGTTTGCAGAATGTTGTTAAAAGAAGAAGGGATGCTTCACAGTGATCAATATGGATCTGTTCCAACTTTTTGATAAATGTTGCTGCCATAAATTACTAAACTTCTTAATAAAATACAATTTCTTAGTTTAAACATTTGATGATTGAACCATGTCACATTATTAATAAATATGTGTTTATGAAATTTGCAAATAGTTGCACTTTGTTATTTCAATTTTACACAGTGTTCCAACTTTTTCAGAACTGGGGTTGTATTTTATGTCTGGGTTCAGAAATTTATTTCATCAACATGAGAGCACCAGGAAGGCAATAATACATCTGGCAAAAAAGACAGCAAAAGCTGGTTTTAAAGAAGTTTTATCGTTGTAAACAAAGCTACCATCACTGTGAAGAATATCATAATTCATATTAAACCAAACCTTTAAATCAGTGTAGCTCACACCTGAATTGTATGATGGACCATAAAGTCAGAGATACAGTAGTACCTCTGCAGTGGCAGCTATCTACAAGTTTCATATAGAAATATGAGCACTTTTTTTTCCATTATATGACATAATTATTCTAGATTTGAAAAACAAACAGTCACATTTAGTCACTCAGGTCATCGCCCGTCATTTTTCAGGCCTAAAGGGAAGGTGTTGGGACCACATCACAGGTGTGTGAAATCGATGCACTTTTAAAATGTCAGCATGAATACGGTCTAACAAAAAGATACTGAACACCTAATGACTTAACAAGTTCCACCCATAACAGCAGGTGGAGAAAACCTTTCCAAAGAATTGTTCCCATTTTTGCCTTATTTAATGACGCAAGAAAACCGCCTCACTCTTTCCTCACATCCATGAATTCAATGGATGGACGAGCCTGAAACCAAGAGAGGTGAGTCAAGTGGAGAGAAACTGGATAATGACACAGATGAATCTTGAATAGTATGTTCAAACTCAAACGAAGAGTGGAATGTACGCCTTAACTGTGACTACAACAACAGTGGTAGCATTAAGATAACTTTCATAGAGATTTGATGAACTTAAAAACACTGACAGCTAATAGAAAAAACATCAAGGTCACATCTTCTCCCTTATGATGCTGAAAGAGGGACAGCTTCAAAGTTGTGTTTCACTCTGTTTATTTCATTAATATCCCTTAAAATAAAAGTATGAGCTAGAAAAACAGACTTAATTAAAGGAGCCTACCGCTCCTTGAAAGAATGGATATCACCCATCCTCTTTCATGCAAAACTTTTAAACTAAGATCATCATCATGATAAGAAGGGACAGAGTTAAAGCCATTTGGGCCAAACCTTGTGGGCTCTTTCAACATGTTACTGCTGTAACGCTCAGCTACTACCACATCAAACTTTAGCTCTCTTTCTGTAAATTTGATCAAGTTACAACCATTTCTGTACTGGCTTTGGTTAATGTAATAATCAGTCTTCTTTTGCAGAACGTGTTTGAGCAGGAGTTGGTATATAAAACACATTTATTATTAGTAAATTATTTTGAACAAAATTAAACGTTTAAGGGGTTTTTTTTTTAGCCCTGAAGAACCAGTAATGGACGATTTAATTTAACGAAGAACAATGCATATCTAAACAGGTTTTCCTTACCAGAACGGGCAGCAGCAGAGCCATGTATCCGCCGCAGAAGATAGCGAAGAAGACAGCGTACACCATCAGCAGTATATATGATGTTGCCAGCGGGGACAGCAGGTTGACCAAACCACAGAGGATCAGGTAGGCTTTGTGGTAATGATATTTATGGAACAGGTTCCTGTCCGTCACCCACCCCGAGGCCAACTGGGCGATGGTCTCTGTGATACCTGGAACAAAATGCAATGGTGCATGGAAGAGAGTACGAGAAGGTAAATGTGACATTTAAGAAAAATTAAGAGGAACAAAAAGGAAACATCCTCAATGTTGTATTTTTGCCAGGACTTGTGTATAAAGTTCTAAATGCAGAATACATTCGTCAGAACTACTGTAACAACCCTGGACTTTGCAGTGATGATCAGTGTATTTTAAATGCAACACATCATGAAAATTAAAGACTAAAGGTCTAGCATTCCATGACGGACAGCATATCGCCTTGTATGCCAGAGTTTTAGATCATCTCATGTTGAAAAATGAGTGATGGAACTGGGTTGACTCCAAATGTTCATGGGTTGTAGATGTACATTCAGTTAGAATCTGAGTGTTTCAATAAAATCCATCCAGTGGTTCATGAGATAATACGCTAGCCGGGTTGATGCCATCAGTTTTTGCTAAAATTTTAAACAAAAATACAGTGCACGGAATATGTGCTGCGACGTTCAGCTACTCTCACACTGAAATTTAGCTAAAAATCAGGAAAAACTGTTTGTTCCCCTTTTGTGTTTTTTAAGGTCAACTGTAGCGGCCATCTTGAATTAGGTTAACTTCAAAAATTAATCGGTTGTATGTATATCTAATGACTTCCCAAGAGATTAATTAACATTTAAACAAAAAAATCACAAGACATTCTGTAAACAATACAATTACACCAGGCACATCATGAAGACTTGAAACATCATCTCCTGCTTTTTGCTGGGGGTGAGATAATCACACCCCATACACTGTGCTACCCAAACTCAGAGCTGATCTTGATGTTATGCTCTTCATCTCCTGCGTCTGAAAGCTGCTTCTGCTCGGACTTGATGACTGTGCAGATTTGGACTTTTCTCTGCTGAGGTCAACTGGAATGTGATAGGTGATGCAGAAACTGCAGCGGTGTATTGACTGTTGCAGGAATAGCCATAAGCAGACAGCGCTGCGCTATAGATCAATGAAACAAACTGATTTTGTGCGTATCAGAGTAACTCATCCATTGTAGAACCTCTGCAGCACAACTCCGTCTTGTGAGACAACCGGGCTGTCTTCACGCTTTTAAAGACTTGGAAAGAAGCCTGGATGGCTTACAACAATAAGAGGGTTTATCAGTGAACAACTCTGCACTCTTTACCTAACAGGACCTAAAAAGAGGTTAAATCGATGACATGAGGCAGCTGTGCAAAGTTTATGTGTTCTCATTTTTGTGATCCGAGAAACGTCCCGGAGTGTCGCCCTGCTTGCACACTGAAAAGATGTGCGTTTGTTTGTGTGTTTTAGCCTCAGCAGGTTGGTTTAGCCCTGCAGCTGTTCCTGTTTAAACTCAACACAAAGCTGTTTAAATTTGGCCTCTCCAAGTAGCAACACCCCTAACCAAGTGCATCAAGGACATTGGTTCTGTCTGTTCCTCTCTGTCGTGTCGTCAAGTAAAGAAACAGTTAAAGCAATGAACGAAACGGTTCTGATTTTCTGACTGGGGGTTCTATGTTGAATTTATGAACAACTAATATCTTACCTGTTGTGGATGGCTCTTTGATTGACCTCAGTTTGGTGAAAAAGTTGATTTCCAACCTGACTGACAAGCTAACAGCTAATTTGTGATGGGTCAAGACCAACGTGGATTGCTTTAGTTTTAAAACAACTCCCATCTAAAAACTGTTATAGCAATTCAAATGAAGGCTGCTGTATAAACCTTTACGCCACAGTCAAGTTCACATTATACAATTATGTACAGAAAATCAATTTTTTTTTTCAAATTGTGCGCTTTTTTTAAACACACGGTCCTGAAAACAAAGAGATAAACAGTTCAGTCCCAGCATTTGTTGTGTTTGTCATTAAACTGAAGTTTATTTTGAAAGGATTATAAAGTGGAAACTATAGTCAGGGGTGAGCTCAGATTTACTGTTAGAATAAATACATCACCCTCCACGCTGAACCACTGGACTGATGAAAGTGAAGAATAAAGATCCTAAATCATGACGCAGAAGCCAAAATTAAATTCTTTGCTATATTAAAGTTACTTTTTGCAAAAAATGTGTGCAATTTTGTAAAAGGCTGCCATGCATTAGTTTACTTACAAAAACAAAGTGCCTGAAATTAGGTCAACAATGGTGACGTTTTTAGCAGAAACCACAAAGTTTGACCATTTTGGTCAAAACATATTTACACACAGATTTGTGGAGTAAAGAATGCAGATAAGAAGATAAATTAGGTTGAAACCCTAAACTTTTAGCACCAAATTCCTGCCCCCCCCCCACCACCTAACCATCTTCTCCAGGATTCTTCGCTTGTTTAATTCTGGTGTCTTTGTTTCTGGATCTCCTTTTATTTCATATTTTGGAATAAAATAACTTTATTTAGATCTGTATTATGAATAAAGGATGTAATGAAAATGGTTGTGACAAGCACAAATTTTTACAAGCCAGTCTTATGTGTATATCAGGAATGGAGCAACAAAACAGAGGCTTCAATATTAGGGGGAAAAAATAACAATTACCAGTGAATGCGTAGTTTTGTTTAATATGACCATCCCTAGTGTTCACATGAACCACTAAGAAATGTTTGAGATTGGAGCTTAGTGTGTAAATCTAGTCCGAACTAAACTCACTCCCAATTGAGGTCCTTTAAAGAGTGATCCTCAACATGTAAGATATTAACTGTTCATAACCTTCCCACAGAATCCCACTTCAAAAGAGCTGAACTATCCCTTTTTATCCTGTTTTTCTTATACATTTTATTGTTGGATGTAACTGGGACCCTGCGTACATAATTTCGCTCCACCACATGTACCACATGAGGTGCGAATGACAATAAAGAAACTCTGACTCTGACTCTGACTTAAGGTTGATGCTGCGAACCCTAACGGTCACCAATCTTCAGAGCATTGACGAGAGCTGGGGAAAATCAAGGCGAGGACACATGACAATTAAATTGCTCTAAACTGGGACATCTTTTAACAAGACTAAAGCCAAGGGCTTTCAAACAACTCTCGGAAACCGCACTGGCTTTACTTTCTGTGCTCCTCTGTAAAGTATCATCCACTTCAGAACTGGACTCAAACAAAACTGGGACCCCCCTCTTGTCTCCACGCCAACAACTCCCCTCAGTTAGCCGTTGCTTAGCGACTCTGGATAGCTCCAGTGTTGGTGAGAGTTGACAAACACACTGACCCAGATGACAGCGGTTTTTCTATCCTTCGGCCAAGCTGATGACAACGCCGGTTTGGAAAAAGAGGGGACCGCAGGACACCAGGATGGTGTCTTTTGTGGAGTGGGTGGCACCCCGTGTCTTAAGATCGGTCTCTTTTTCTTCTGTACTTCGAGGCACATGCCCAGAGAACGCAAGACAAACATCCAAGTCCAAAGAATCTGTCAGTCTCACTGTGAGCTGGCACAAAACTCATCAGAGCAAAATGATAAGAGAAAAAAACAGACATCTTTATTCTGGGGGGTTGTATTACAGCTATGCAAAAATGCTGGTTTAACTGCATTATCTAGTCAATTTTAGTTCTTCCTGTGTAATTTTATACAACAGTATTGTCTGACTCTAGTCTGTGGCTCGATCTATAAGTGTTGTTTTTCTTGTGCAAGCTCAAAGTATTTCTCAACTCTTCTGTCACGTTTCTCGTTTTGTCCTGTTGCTCTGTTAAGATGTGTTGAATTAAATGCTGACAAAAAAGAAAATTGCAAGTTTTTCCAGTCAATCAAAATATTAGACTTTATTATCGCCCGATGCCAAAGGATAAAGGCAATAGTGTTTTTGTCCGTGCCTGTGCGCGCACACTCGTTAAATTATTTCCTGAATCAGTGGATGGATTTTAATGACACTCACAGAAATATAATATTGGATATCCAATTTAAGATGGCCACCACAACTAAGCTAACTAAGCAAACACAAAATAGCTCAAATTTGGTGTAGTAGAACGTAGCTAGAGTTTAGCTAAAAACCTTTGTATAAACTTATTTTTTGTTGTTCTTTATATAAACTGTTAGTGCCAACACTGTTAGTAAAATACCCCATGAACTACTGGATACATTTTATTGAAACTTTCTGAGAGAAATCATTGGGTGTACATCTACAAATGTTTCACGTTTGGTGGCACCCCAATTGAAGAAGGCCCCCCACATACTGTAATCAACCTTAGCCAACACAAAATGGTTATAATATAACTCAGCAAGTTTTATAGATATTTAAATAATTTTGATGTGGCCGAAGTTGAGAGTCATCCGCATCACGTTTTCTGTGCTATAACACATCTTGTGAGATTGTGCATAAAGTCTTTTTTGTTTTATTACTATAAGTCAATCCCTTCTCATCTCAAGATGATTTTAGTCTTAAACTGTATGAAAAGAGGTGGGCAATCATATTCCTTCGAGGAATGTGGGCCTTTCGTTTTTTTTCTCTTAAACTGAAAAACAAACAAACAAAAAAATTGCCTGAAATGACATAAAACATCTGGAGATAGGAAAAGTCATCTCAAATGAAATAACCCCATTTTAGACATTAAAAACTAAATATATGACACTAAAGGCCTTAAATGTATTAAAATTAACAGCTGTGAGTTTGTGTTAGTATTCACATCTAAAAGAAAAGGCATGTGAATGATTGTGGAACTGAATATATAAAAGACAAGTGCTCAGCTGCTGCTCAATTATTCAGAAAGCCTGACAAAGTGCTGATGATGTGGTTGGTGGTCAAAATGTTAATGCTGTTTTCTGGTCATATGGAGGGGCCTCATCAATGGCAGACCACTAAACCCACTCGTTCAGGCCAGTGTACCAAAGTTCAGCTTTTATGTAAGAGGAATCATTACATAAGACTGCAGAGTCTCAGCAGCTCACAAATAATTAATGCCTAAAAGTTGACGGAGCACTTCTTTGCATCATAAAGAAGATCCAGACTGAACAAACTGGACCCACTTCTTGACAGTCACTGCAAAAAGTCTACGATTAGTCAAATTCAAAGACGTGCAGCCAGCTGTCTATGGTCTGTTGGACCAGGACACACGTGTAAAGTGGGCTGGACTCTGTGAGACTATGCTTTATTAACCCACCAGCTCTGACTTACATTCAATAGTAATTCATTTAACAAGATTATGTTAAAGCCGTGTAACTTGTACTGCACATTCAAGTTACTCTTTGAAACAGTTTCTTCAAAGGCTTTTCAAAAATCCCATTGTACAGGATTAAGTACAGCTAAATATTTCATGTAATTGTTGATCAGTCCTGCACATTAACTCTTCAGCTCATTTCTTTATATCGATCATCAGTGGGTCGTCCCATAAACTGTTTGCTTCAGGTTCTTTAGAATATTTTTGTTTTGGTTCAAGGTCAGAACTCAAAAATAGCTTTTTCTTTTTCCCTTACCATTCCTAATAGACAAAAATGTGTCTTTATGATAATACTGCCCAAATACCCACCTTTCTTAGATTGATTATGACGATTGCCCTAGCATGTTATGTTACGACTTCTTCACAGTAATTGAGAACTGCACTGATGACAGCATGCCGTCTGATCCAGGTGCAGCAAAAACAGGTTACCACCATGTTTCATAAAGTTTTATGAATGAATGCAGAGCCCAATAATCATTTAGTGTCAAGCCTATAATGAAGAGTTCAACCAAGTCTATTTTTAAATCTTTTGATTTATTCTATGCAACTAAAGTTCCTGTTTGCCGATAGTACCAATTTTTTCCTTTCACAAAAAATCAAAACATCAAATCACAGAATTTTCAACTATATTTTAAGCAAATCAAATACTTTACAATACTGACTAAGCTGCACCTCACCTGCCACAGAGATGATAAAAGAAGCATCCATAGCATCGATGCCCAGAGTTCTGGCCCTGGCAGACAGGTGGAAGTAGGGGATGAAGTAAGCCAGCTGACTGAAGACCAAGGACCAAGTGTAGATGCAAAAGAAGGGGTTCTTTAGCAAAGAAAAATCCAAGACTTTGGCTTCTCTGACTGTCACCTCATTCGGCAGGCTGGCATGTGAAGTAAATCCCACCGTGGTGGACCCATTCATGCTACCGTTTAGCTCTGCTGGGCTGCTGGGAGTTGTGGGCTTACACTGAGTTGAGTCATGGTGAGGCTCGTGACCATTGACACCATTCAGAACCAGTCTGGTCAGTTCAGAGTTCAGTGCCTGACCCTGAATACATTGCCCTCTCAGACTCTCAGTGTCCCCATGAGGTGGGGGAGAGGGTGGGAGAACGTTTGGTTTGGAGAGTCCATTGGATAAAGGTGATGAACCGTTCAAGCAGCTCTTAGGGTATTCCGTCTCTGCAGAACTCTTGATGGAAACAGCAGGGCTCTTTTGGACGGCTGAAGAGTTGAGGTTTGAACCAGGTGGCTTTACGCTGATGGGCCGCAGAAGCATCCCAGAAGCAACAAGATTCAGCATGAGACCTCCAAGAATCAGCATTGCCCCTGTGGATGACCAAAAAAACCTTGAAATCTAACTGACTCGCACCATCTCATGTAAGTATTTGTTCTGCCTACCTTGCCAAGCGTACTGATCCAGAAGCAGCTGAGTGAATGGAGCTAGGGCGAAGGTCAAACCCATGCCAGAACGCCCAATAGCATACGCTGTTGCCAATCTTTTTCTGAAGTACAATGCTGTTACCACCGAGAAGGATTGGTACAGTAGAGCAAAACCCATTCCTGAGAAAAGAAGCAAAGCAAAGCCACATCAAAAACAAGCTGGTTCAAATGATCAATCACAAAGCTGCTTTCAGCTTACAACTCATTTCAACTTACCAACTATCACTCCCATGCTGATATAGAGGAAAACCACACTGCTGGCAAAAATACTCAGGATGAAGCCCCCGCTAACCAGCACCGCCCCAGTGATGGAAGTAACTCTTGTTCCCATCTTGGCACAAGCCACGGAGGCAATTGGAGCTACATAAGTGACAGAAGAAAATACACGAAGTTTGATCATTGTGGATTTAGATTTACAGTCATGAAACCTGTTGACTAGTAGTGATGAAACCTGTTGACTAGTAGTGTCGCAATACCAGTCTCAAGTACTCGTACTTGTACGCATAAAAACACCCTGATACTTACTGATACCACTTGTATGCTTGACAATGTCATTTCCTCTTCCAGTTTATATAAGTAGCCGAGGACAAAAACTAAAAAAATGTCTTTAGTTTTACGATATTTGAACATAAACAGAGGTGATGTTAAGACAGTAGACTGCTTGCTGTGGTCTTAATAAAAATGTGTAAAGTCATTATTTAATGTTCAAATACTAACTCACAGGGTTTTGATACTCATTATCAGCAAATACCCAAAATAAGGTACTTGTATTTGTACTTGAAGTACTTGAACTTGGTCTGAAAAAATAAAAAAATAAAAACTAGCATTGGGCACCACTACTGTTGACTACACCTTTGTTTCTTTGCCATTAAAAAAGGATTTAAACCCAAACATGATTAATAAAATCTATATAACAGAGATAAACATTTAAACAGGTACATTTTAAGACAAAAAGGCAAAAAAAAAAAAATGTATTTAAACCTCCAGACAGACGTAGACTAGACATGATTGAACCTATCCAGCTGATGCTTTCTGATGAGCCTCCAAACTCATCTTGAAAGGCCACAAAGAAGATTCCAAAGCTTTTTAATGTTCCCATCACGAGTACATTCACCTGCACAAAGGAAAACAAATAGATTTGATGCACAGCATGAACTCACATTTACATTCACTTAACAAGACCCTTTATTCCAGGTGACTAACATGTAAAGACGAACAACCTAACAATTAAGAAAGCAAAAATAAAATGACATTAGCATGAGCACTATATCTCTACAAAGCAGAATTAGGAGAGGTAAAGGAGTGTGGAGTCAGAGACGTTCATGTTCAACTCCAGGGATTTTCCTGTGCATCCCACTGACTAAAGAAGCATCACAATAGTTAGAGATAAGGTCAAAACCTCACTTATAAAACATGTTTAGAAAAAATACTACAGGCACATCTATCGTATGTCTAGGATTTCATCACAATTCTGTCCGGAGACAGTCTTAAAGTGCTTCCAGTCATGTGGAAATCTTTGACATATAAACTGGGATTTGAACCAATACTCAGAGTGAACAAAACAAATGAAAAAAGTATAAAATCAACAAAGAAGAGAGGTCCATACCAGGAAACAATGCAGCACAACCATCCAGCCCCACCCTCCATCAGGAGGGTCCTCATACTGAATTTCTTTCTCCTTCTCCTTCTTTGTGGTCATGGGATCTTTCCTGAACAGATTCATGATGGCCTGTGTTTCACTGGAGGCAAAAGAAAACATCATCAAGCACAGCTGGAATGAACACACCATCATAAGAAATGTGCAAAATTCATTATAGGAGATGAACCATCTGCAAAACACGGTCAAGAATGTTTTAATGATGCGTTTTGAAGATAAACAAAATATGTTTCTATGGAATTGATCTGTCAGAAAACTTTAAATAAAGCAGTTAATTAATAGTATAACTAATAATAACTTCTAGTCAAGAGCTACTGTAAAGTTTGGGGACATTTTAAGATATTAGTAATAAGATAAGTCACCGTGCCAGCTGAAATGAGAAAAAGCTGATTTGTCATTTATTTTTCATCAGTACCTGCACATGCATCTCAAGCCTTTCTTCAAACACGTTTAAAACACTTCAAATAAACTTTTATCCCCTTTTTTTTTACAGTTTCCATTTTTGTTTTTCACATCTTCAAAACAGCAAAAAGCGATGCAGTTCTTTAACCGTGAAAGTGGTCAGCTCCAGTGTAACCTGTCCTCACTAATGTCTGAAATGTGTGTCTGTGTAAATAATAAAAGCAAATATTTAACCCTCCTGGGTCAAAATGACACCCAGGTTTTAAGACTAAAGGCTTGTGGGTTATTTTGAACCAAGGGCAACAATTTATAAGAACATATATCTACATTTTCTGTTAGCAGCAGTTTGTTCTCTGCATGTTGTGCTGATAATGGATGTTTTGTTGAGAATATTTGAATACTACTGTTGCTGTTATTAAAACGGTTGCTGTACTTGTAATGGCTTGTTTGCACCTTACACATTGTCCAGGACATCTCAAGGGATTTATTTTCTGTAAAATAAAGGTTTAAATAAATAATTATTTAAGTTTATGGTCAATCAAATTGGTTGCGAAAAACTATTCTTGTTCCAAAAGGAAAATGTGATAAGTGATAAATAAACCTCAACAGAAAACTTAAAACTCCTGTCACAAACTAATCAACTAAGTCTTAGATCTGAAACACAATTTATTATTATTATATTTTTTTTAATCAAGTCACCCAGTCCGAAGAACATGTTAAATTAAGTAAAGTTGCTTCTTTTCAAATTATAGATTAGATTAGATAGACATTTTATTAATCCACGGGGTGGGAAATTTGAGGCATCCAGTAGCATGTTCTAATTATGCAGAAAAAACAAAAACTCACATAAGAAATAATAATTTAAAAAAAAAGAAGCAGAATACACAAATTTGGAAAAAGACAATACGTACAAGATGGTAGAGAGCACAGTGATTGCCTTTGTTGTGCAACTGAAAACACAATGAAATAATTTTGTGGCAACCCTTGATTCTGCACGTCTTGGTTGTTTAAAGGGCTTCATGGTCAAATGAATATGTGGGCGCTGAAGGTCATGAGATTTTTAGGTGCTACACAAAGATAATTTCACTTTAATACGTTCCTGATTTAAAACGCGTTTTCATCTTTCTTCTTGGGGATAAAATAATGGACAGACTTTTAGTAGGGAAATGTATAAAAAGTTTATCAAGAAAAGATTGTGAAACTTTTTGTAGAAAAGAAACTAATTATGAAGTATGCATCGTTTAACATCTGTATAGCTTTATAAAAATGTGTATGATTATATTTCAGTGTTTAAAATTTACTGGAAAATAATAATATAAAAAGACTCATTCCTTCTAACTTTGTGACCAGTTGATTTCTTCTTTCACTTTTCAGCTAAAGTGATGCAATGATCTGTAATCAGGTCAGATTATACTGGACTTTACGGTGGACAGAGTCTCCTGGCCTCAGTTTGCTTTGCTCCTTGCATCATAAAATCTTTAGTGTCTTTTTATGTACAGAATATGTCAACACGAAGGTTACTGGAGAAAAATAGAATCCCCACTGCTGTTAAATGAACAGATGAAATATGGCATCAGCAGAAAGCAAAAAAAAACAAAAAAAAAACCCACACAAACCGAACTTCCATAGATTAATTAGAACATTGATTACTGATTTTTTTTTCCACTAAATGTTTTGGTTAAACTCTTGTTCTTCTAACACACATAATTTTAATTCTGTATGTTCAGATGAACAAGTTACTTTAATGATTTACAACCCTTGAAGTTGAGATGTCATGGAAAAAGTGATTCCCAAACAACCAGGTGTAACGCTTCATCACGTTTCTTTACAAAGCTCTGGAGAACAGCCAGCAATCACAGAAGATCAATACATTTACAAGTTCACACTTATCAATGCTGTCACCGATCTGAGGCTCTGACCCGTTCTGACTCCCCAATCTGACGAGATTAGTTTTGTAGAATCACCCTGGTGCCAGCCTTCAACCCCCACCCCACCCCCGCTTGCTCTGCTGAGCTGTAACCAGCAGGCCCAGCTGCACACAGAGACATGTCAGGGAGTTAACTATGGGAGACGGAGACTGGTTCTTAAACTGGGGTCCCCAGACCCCCAAGGGTCCGTGAGCCGATGCTTGGGGGTCCGTCAAAAAAATATATATATTTTTTTATTTTTACAAGCATGCAGATGTTTATCAACCTGTTAAAATACACCAAACTACAGAAAATCACATCTACTTTATTCACAAATTTATGAGGGAGGGCCCACAGACCCCCCCCCCCCCCCCCCCCCCCCCCCACAACACACACACACACCAGCCCGCTATTTCTGTTCCGGCATCAATCGGTTTACAAATTAAGCCCTGTTATGATTCTGTTCAGTTTTATGTAAAGAGTTTTCTGTAATAATTCAAAGAAGTGGTAATACATTTATTATGTTCATTATGTGTAAAGTTTTAAAGTGTTTTTTGATGCTGTTAATTTTCTTAAAATTCTTCCAATTAAAAATGTTAACTAAGTGTGTCTTGAAGGAAAAATACCCCGTGTTTAAAAGTATCAAAATTATCTTAACACTATTGAAGAACAGGTATTTATGTTACACAAATATTTCCATTACATTAAAGAGATAAATTGAAGAAAATTATTTAATAAACATGAGGATTATGAGGGGGTTACTGAACCCAAAAAATTTGAGAACCCCTGCTCTAAGATATGCCACTGTATCATATCAATATCATATCAATCAAACCTTGAGGATAATAACAATAATCTCGTCGCAGTCTCTTTACTCGTCACACCAAGACTGATTATTACATGGAACATTTTAATATCATTCACAATCACGGTACAGAGCAGTGAAATATATGGCGCATGGTTACTGCATATAACACACATTCCCTTGGCAGAGACTTTAGCTGTAGGACTGGTGCTTTAGAAAATGAACCTGAATGTTTCTGCTGCTGATTTATGATCAACCAGCTCCTGGAAGCTGTTGCCTCCTAACAGCCACTGAGTGACTTTGAATGACTTTGTCCACTTCTTGTAACATGGATCCCAGGGATCCTCCTCTCCAGACTTGGAAATGTTTACAAGGAGCTTTAATAAAACACACAAAGCTTTAAATGTAAACAATGACACACACACACAGAGAGAGAACGATGAAAAGTGTTATGAGTAACAGCGATGTCTAACTCCACTTTGACACTCTGCTTTCTTTTCAAATAGAGGATTTATGTTCTTGATTTGGCAATTTTGACAAAGCTTTGTTCACTGATTTGAACATGTAAATAGCTCACATAACATAGAACATTTTTTATTTGGTAATTTTAATATTTAAACATACCATTATATAAACTATAGTCAAATTTCTAAATGTCAATAATAGTTTAAAATGCAGATTTGTTTGTGGGTCTTGAATTCACATACTCAGCAGTCAGACAAACCAAAGCTGAGGCAGAGTGATGCCTCCAGGTACACGATACCGTGTTGAAAATAATAAGACTTGATGGAAAAGTGGAGTAAAAGCAGCAAAGGACAAACAGTTAAATTCTGGGTGGATCTGAGGAGGACCTTCCCTTTGCTATGGCCTGTTTACATTCCCTTGGACTTTACTCTTGTAAATTTGCTACATTTTCCTTTATAGATCTTCTGCATACTTCAGAGACAAGCTCTGACATCAGCCCAAAGATGATCGGACATCTGTGTACTGAAGACGTGTTCAACCAGTAATGAATGTTGCACACTTCAGCCTTTCATGTTGCCAAGTTCCACAGCCTGTCTTATGATGCACATGCAGTGCTTGAAAGACAAATAAACTAAACCGGTTCTGTTGTCTCTCTGCAAAACAGCCTCTATCACTCAGTACTTGCAAAATAAAGCAGAGATACAGCAGATCAAGTATTAATCTTGCATTCTCAGGGGGGAAAAAGTGAATAGCTTTAAGGATAAAGCAACATGCAAAAAGTGGTATTAAGAAAAGAGGTGGGGAAAAAACTGTAAGTAAATGCAGTTTACTGATGTCTGTGTTGTCTACACTTCATTCTGCAGGGCATTTATCTGCTTATTTTGAATGAATCAATAAAATATGAAACCTTTTCTTTCTGCTCAGCTGAAAATTCTTCCACTCAGCCCTCAAGAAATACATGAGCTCATGGATTCAAAGCCAGTCATTCATAAATATTGAACAGGGCAAACATAATACCTATATAACCAAAAGAAAAACTAGAATATTTTGGGTTTAATGGTTCCGCAGCATGTCAGTCTGTTTAACGTGTTTCATATTAGTCACATTGAAATTATTAATAATAATAACCACGTAAGCAATTTAAAAACCTCTTTGCAACACATAACTATATGTAATAGAATAATAAAAATACAATGGGAGCTATAACACAACAGGTTTAGTAACTTTATTAGAACCAGGGGTTTGCAACCTTTGTGATAAAAACAGCCATGTTTTGCCACTTTGCTTATTAATTACAATGTCCGGAGCCACAAACCCTGCTACAACCGTGTACTGTCAACTGGTGGCTCATGGGCCACTACAAGTTTGTTGGAGATGGCTTTAATGGCCAGTGGGGGTGATATGAAAAAATGAAAAATGTCTAACTATTATTAACATTTATTGATATTTTTACATTTTAATACAAAAGAAAAGACCAGATTCATGTACATTTTTAATAATTAT